TGGGACTACAGGCGCACGCCGCTAAGCCTGGCTAATTTTTGTATTTTTTGTAGAGATGGGGTTTCACCATATTGGCCAGGCTGGTCTGGAACTCCTGACCTCGTGATCAGTCCGCCTTGGCCTCCCAAAGTGCTGGTGTCCCTCCTTTATCTCCTGTCCCTCTATCCAGGGACAGGCCTTCCGCGTCCAGCACCCAGCTTCAGCCCAGCCTGGATCTCACCACGCCGGCGCTCCGGGAAGGGAAACGAGGTGGTCAGAAGCTTCCACGTGGGGGCGCTGGTGGGGCGCAGGAAAGACTGAAGCAGACCCCCGCCCCCACTCCCCGTGCCTGCTCGGTGAAGGAACCCTGATGGTCAATCTGCGGCTGCCCCCTGCCCGGTCCCAGGGTTCCCACCAAGCAGTCATGACCCCCCTCCCTTCTGCCTCGCCTCTCGGCCCCCCTCGGGTTCGCCCTCCTCAGTCAAGATGAAAGAGCCCGCGAGCGGCAGATAGGTCTAGGTTCGAATCTCGCCTCTGCTCCTTAGCGGCTGGAGGCCTTCTCCCAGGGCTGGCCTGTAAAATGGGCCCACCACGCACCGACTTTGCCCAAGGAGGGGTTCAGGAAACGTCAGCTTCCTGCCCGCATCCGCCCTCATCTCGAATTTCTCTCTCCTCTCTTCTCCCTCTGCTTTTTCCCCCCGTCCCCTTTTGGTTTTGTCTTAAGTCCCTCCCTCCCGCGCCCTTTCTCTTCTCGGCTCCGCAATGTTAGCCAAACCGCAGCGTTTAGCAATCCTGCGCCCACCCGGCGCCCGGGGAGCCTTACCGCGGCCGCGACCCGCCCCCGGCCCGGCTCCCGAGGGAGCGCCACCGCCGCGACGTGCCCCGCCCCCATGGGTCGCACGCCGCCCCCAGCCCGGCTCACCTGGGGGTCGCACCCGCACCCCGACTCGCGCTCGGCCATGCCCCAGCCCACCCGGCATTGGCCGGGTCCCTCCTCTGGCGGCAGCGCCGCAGCCCACCCGCCGCCCGGGCCGCGGGGACCGGGCGGAGCTGGACGCACCGGCCAGGGCCGTGCCCGGGTGGCCGAGGGCACCGGGGGGCGGCGGGCTTGGCCGCCAGGACTGCCAGCGCCAGCCTGACCGCAGGCCGAGGGCGACGCTGTAAATAGCCGCGGTTTCCAGCCAGTGCCCTGCCTCCCTCCCAGCCTTCCGGACCTTTTGGGTTTTCTCTGCCTTCTTCCCTTGCCCTCTCCTTTCTGCCCCGTGCCCCCCGCCTCGTCCTGCTGTGCGCCCACCACATCCTGCCCCATGCAGGATGGCTCTGGCACTGGCGAGGTCGCAGAGCCGGAGAGGGGGCCAGGAGACCAGCGCTCCTTCGAGGGAATAAAATAATAATAATCACAGCAATGAAGTTAACTGAGGGTTAACTCAGTACGTGCTATGTGCCAGGGACTCTGCTGAGTGCCTTACAGGCAGGATGCATGAAATCTCTGCTACACTTTAGGAGGACCAGCTTCAATCTGCAGATGGAGAAACTGTGGCTCAGACTCAGTAGGGACTAAGGTCACCCCATCTGCATCTGCAGAATGGAAGGTCATTGCCCCTGTCCAGAGGCCCAGGCTGTGATTCTGCCTGAAGCCTAGTGGGTAAGGCTCCAGTTGAAAGTGGGAAGAGGCTGGCTGGGGGTCCAGGAAGCTGAATAAATTCTCAGTGTAACTCAAACAGATTTACAGGAAAAAAACAAACAAGCCCATTTAAAAGTGGGCAAAGGATATGAACAGACACTTTACGAAAGAAGACATATATGAGGCCAACAATCATATGAAAAAATGCTCATCGTCACTGGTCATCAGAGAGATGCAAATCAAAACCACATTGAGATACCATCTCACGCCAGTTAGAATGGTGATCATTAAAAAATCTGGAGACAACAGATGCTGGAGAGGATGTGGAGAAAAAGGAACACTTTTACACTGTTGGTGGGAGTGTAAATTAGTTCAACCATTGTGGAAGACAGTGTGGCGATTCCTCAAGGCCTTAGAAATAGAAATTCCATTTGACCCAGCAATCCCATTACTGGGTATATATCCAAAAGACTATAAATCGTTCTACTATAAGGACACATGTACACGAATGTTCATTGCAGCACTGTTTACAATAGCAAAGACCTGGAATCAACCCAAATGCCCATTGATAATAGACTGGATTGGGAAAATGTGGCACATATACACCATGGAATATTATGCAGCAATCAGAAATGATGAGTTTGTGTCGTTTGTAGGGACATGGATGAATCTGGAGAACATCATTCTCAGCAAACTGACACAAGAACAGAAAATGAAACACCGCATATTCTCACTCATAGGCGAGTGATGAAAAATGAGAACACATGGACACAGGGAGGGGAGTACTAAACACTGGGGTCTATTGGGGGGAAAAGGGGAGGGCCAGTGGGAGGGGGAGGTGGGGAGGGATAACCTGGGGAGAAATGCCAAATGTGGGTGAAGGGGAGAAAGGAAGCAAAACACACTGCCATGTGTGTACCTATGCAACTGTCTTGCATGCCCTGCTCATGTACCCCAAAACCTAAAATGCAATAAAAAATTAAAAAAAAAATTCTCAGTGTATCCTAGAGCAAGCCCAGCCTGCCTCAGTTTACACACCTGTGGATGAAAGGCAACATTCTGTTCCTCTAAAGAACCTGTTAATGACAGTGGAAAACCCCAAATGGAGTGTGAGGCACTAGGCACCCTGCGCTTGGGGGAGCTCAGTGAGAGGCTGGGGGACTGCCTCCCTGTAGAGTTGAGACCAACCCACCAGCCAGGACTGGCTGCCTGGGAATTAGGCTAAGCTGGGGAAGCTGCCTTTTAGCAAATTCAGGGATTCTGAAGCCATCCAGTTTAGAACCCACCAAAAAGATTCCTGAAGTGGGTGGGGTAGGATGGTGGGAAGTGGGAGGGTAGTCCTCCCTCAAACACTCCATACTTGCCCTTATTCATCTCTGCCTTGGCTGGCCTAGACTCAGGGTGAGTGCAGGTTTATTAAGAAGCTGCTGAGCCAGGCACAGTGGCTCACGCCTGTAATCCCAGAACTTTGGGAGGCGAAGGTGGGCGGATCACAAAGTCAGGAGTTCAAGATCAGCCTGACCAATATGGTGAAACCCTGTGTCTACGAAAAAAATAGAAAAATTAGCTGGGTGTGGTGGCAGGTGCCTGACTCGTGAGGCTAAGGCAGGATAATTGCTTGAATCTGGAAGGCAGAAGTTGTAGTGAGCTGAGATCACGCCACTGCACTCCAGGCTGGGCGACAGAGCAAGACTCCTTATAAAAAAAAAAGGAAGAACCTACTGTATGCCAAGCACACATCTATCCAGCCCCACTCTGAGATACCCTGGCATAATCAACAATCACATGGCTGACTAGCAGAGGTGCCCTCAGCCCAGCTGTCCCTTGAGAACTGGAGCCAAGCTGCTTCTTCCAGGGGTGAACAGCCCCGAGCTAGGCTGTGCAGATCAGTGAGCAGAGCAAGGGTTGCATTTCACATCCACTAGCCCCCTCGGCAGCCGGCCTTGTGCAGGACACAACCTGCACAACCTCGCACAGCAGCCGGTGGGGAGCCATAGAGATCCAAGTAGGAGATGTTGGCAAAGGAGTCAATTACTTGTTGCTGGAGACCGGAAGAGACAGAAGAATTCTATGGAAAAGGTGAATATTAAACTGGATCTTTAAGAATGAATGGGAGTTCACCAGGCGGAAAGGGAGGTCCCGCAGAGGCAACAGCCTGTCCTAGGACAGGGGTAGGGGTGGCCTGGGAAGGAGGGCATGCTCTTCCCTTGCTCCCACCACTATGCTGGCACATGTCAAATCAAACGTAGCTTATCAGCCAACCAGAGGGCTCCGTGCCTGGACTGTGAGATGCGACAGAATGTGGACAGTGTCTTACTCATCTTCCACAGCCCACTGCCTCACCCAATGCCAATAATTGTGGGTTTGTTTGTTTGTTTTTAAGCAGAGTCTCACTCTGTCTCCCAGGCTGGAGTGGAGCGGTGCAACCTTAGCTGGCTGCAACCTCTGCCTCCCGAGTTCAAGCAATTCTTCCTCAGCCTCCCAACAGCTGGGACTATAGGCACATGCCACCACACCCAGCTAATTTTTGTATTTTTAGTAGAGACAGGGTTTCACCATGTTGGCCAGGATGGTCTCGATCTCTTGTCCTTGTGATCTGCCCACCTCGGCCTCCCAAAGTGCTGGGATTATAGGCGTGAGCCACCGCATCCAGCCCCCCAGTGCCAATAATTGTAACAGTAAGCTTGGTCAGCAGGTAGTAAATACTGACCATCATACCTTGTGCTGTGTTCCTGGGCATCATCTCATTTCAGCCTCAAACTCTGGAAACACGTGCTATTATTAATCCTGTTTTACAGACAAGGATTCTCAAGGAGTTAATAATATGCCTAAGGTCACACAGCTGTTTAGTAGTGGGGCCAGAAATGGAACCCAGGCCTCTCTGACCACAGAGCCCTTGTTCTAGACTGATGAGCGGACAGATGGATGAATGGATGGAAGGATAGGCGAGAGGAAGAACTCAACGAAGGACCATGAACACCATGCTAGGGAGCCTGAATTCACTCAAGGGCAGTGGGGAGATGCTGGAAGGTTGTGAGCAGGAGAGACAGGTCAGTTTAGGGATTTAGAAAGATCACTTTGACAACAGGGGAAAGATCATTTAGAGCCAGTGATGCTTGAAACCTGCAGCCATTTTTCTGGCAAATCCCAATTCCCACTTGTGGGGAGGCTCATTCCTTTAAGTACTGTGTTATTTCTCTTAGAGCAAGACTGTCCCCTGTGTGTGTTCTTATGCACACAGTGACTACTGATGGAGAATGCTGGAGAGGAGGGGCTCAAAGACAGGAAAAGGAGACAGGAGGGGACACTGCTCATTTCCAGGGAGAGGCCTCTCTGTATAGGAGAGCAGAGCACCAGGAAGCGAGAAGCTATACGGCCCCCTCCCTATTTCCAAGATGAGAAGGTCCCTTCAGGGTTTCCAGCCTGGAAGCTGCAAGCCCCAGGTCCCCACACACTGCCCCACTGTGCACCTGCCACCAGGGAAACACAGCCAAAGGTGAGGCAGATGTTGCATCAGAGTGTTAAGCCCTGGGATCAAATATTAGCGGGGGCACTGGAGGTCTGATCCCTCCTCCTGAGCAGCTGCTAATATCATTGGCCTTTCCAGCCAGGGAGGGAGGGGAGTCACAGAAACCTGCCTGGGGATCAGTTAAAGCTGAAGGAAGGAAGCAGGAATAGGACCTGAAAACAGGGTGCGTTTCCCCTACCTAGACTCAAGGAGCCAAAGAACGGACCAAAGCCTGCAGGAAGCAGGCGTCTTCAGGCTGAGAGGGGCTCCCAGAGGGTTCCGGGGCAGAGCAGGCTCACCATGCTGCCTTGCCTAGCCCTGCTTCTCCTGATGGAGCTGTTCGTGTGCACTGTGGCAGGTGATGGTGGAGAGGAACAGGCACTCAGCACTGAAGCAGAGACCTGGATAACTGTGGCCTTAGAGGTACCTTTGGGGAGAGGCTCTGACCAGGGCAGGGGATGATGGATGGTGGAGGGGCAAAAGATCCCGTGTGTGGCTGCCAGAACAGGCTGTGCCCTGTAAGGCAGGTTGCTCGACTCTCTTCCATGAGTAGATTCAAGGCTATGAGCCCTGGCCTGGCAGACCTCCAAAGTGCGTGAGTGTGTGTGTGTATTCAAGAAATACTTATTTAACTCACGGTATAAGAAATACTTACTTAACTCACGGTATATTTCTGGCACTGTCTGAAATACTTTATAAATATTAACTCAATCCTCCTATTAACCTCATGGGGAAGGTATCATAATTATCCCCCATTTCATAGATAGGGAAACTGAGGCACAGAGAAGTAGTTTGTCCAAGGTTGCACAGCTTCAAAAGCACAACTACACACCTTGCCCAAGGTCTGATTCTGCGTATCTGTGCATCTGAGGAGCTTTTCCAGAATTTCAAGAGGATTAACTTAAACAAGACCACCATTTGTTCTCACATGTAGAAATGACCAGCATCCACACTACCCCCACTCCTGCCTGACAGTCTGATTGAGGAAGCAAAGATCCTGACCTCAGGGATCCCCTAATCAGACAAGGGAGAGAGCCCAACAAACCAGAGACAAAGGCGGACAAATAAGAGGCCAGTGCTCAGGGAGGGCTTCTAGGGGACAGGCAGGACAAGACTGGGCTTGGCGCCTCCCATTTCCAGGATGGTGAGGACACTGGGGTGGACCTTGGCTTTCAGTCCTGGGCCATGGTGAGGTCCTCAGAAGCACCTAGAAATGGGGCCACAGGGGCTGGACGCAGTGGCTCACATCTATAATCCCAGCACTCTGGGAGGCCAAGGTGGACAGATCACCTGAGGTTGGGAGTTTGAGACCAGCCTGACCAACATGGAGAAAACCCGTCTCTACTAAAAATACAAAATTAGCTAGGTGTAGTGGCGCACGCCTGTAATCCCAGCTACTCGGAAGGCTGAGACAGGAGAACTGATTGAACCCGGGAAGCAGAGGTTGCAGTGAGCTGAGATAGAACCAATTGCACTCCAGCCTGAGCAACAAGAGCGAAACTCTGTCTCAAAAGAATGAATGAATAAATAAATAAATGGGGACCCAGGAAGAGCTGTCAAATGGACAGTCCTGCATGGTGGGTTTCCTCTCTGGTCTGTCTGAACCTGGCAGTGTGTGCAGTGAGGAGAAGGCAGCAGGGCTGGGAGCATCTCCACTGACGCCCGCCGCTTTCCAGAAATGGAGGGAAGTGACCCCTGCAAGGCTTTCCTCTAACTTTGACAAGCTTTATAGAGTCAGTGCCAAACATCAGGTACCTTGTCTAGAGACAGAAGCCTCGCTGGGTGATGCCGCCTCACTATGCAGCCCCATGGGAAACGTTGTTATAAACAACTAGCACTGCTAGACGACCTCCCAAAAGCACCTCCTCCTGCAGCTGGGTCTAATCCTTATTCTCCTTTCACTCTCCTTTAATATAATATCCCTCTGCTTCCCAAGACACAGGGCTTGGAATATGGGAGGAGAGACTGGGTTAGAAGTCAGGAAGAACTTAGGAACACTGTGGGATGCTAAGGATAACATAAGTGATGGCCGGCTGTGGAGTTTCACGCCTGTAATCCCAGCACTTTGGGAGGCTGAGGCAGGAGGACTGCTGGAGGCCAGGAGTTCAAGATCAACCTGGGCAACACAGAAAGACCCCGTCTCTACAAAAAATAAACAAAATTAGCCAGGCATGGTGGTGCACACCTGTGGTCCCAGCTACTTGAAAGGCTGAAGTGGGAGGATCTGTGGAGCCTGGGGAGTTGAGGCTGCAGTGAGTGGTCCTGTGCCACTGTGCTCCAACCTGGGCAACAGAGCAAGACTCTGTCTCAAAAAAAAAATGAGGTGACAGGAATGGGAGATGATCTCATCACTTACCTCCCTTGCTCTCGGGGCTCCCCACCTATAGTCATCCCTGGAGCTGGGGATTTGGGTTAGATGGATATGGAGATCTCTGGGTGGGGCAGGAGTCTTTTAGGAATGAATGGGAACCAATGCCTCCAAATGCCCCTGCCCCCCCCACCAGAAACCCAGGGGGAGAAAGGTCAGTCCTACTCAATTCATAAGTGTCCATTCTCTCCAGCTTGCACCTGAAGGCTACCTCTTACCAAGGCAAAGTGGTTTTCATGAGTTTTTCAGAAATGGGTCCAAATCTCCAAAGAGACTTTTCTGGTTCTTAGCCAGGCTGGATGATTCCAGCCCAAGGTAGCTTCCCCAGCCACTAACGTCCTGGTGGGGTGGGAGGGAAGCAGATGGGAAGTGAGTGAATTAGTCCAAGGCTTAGAAAACAATTCATTCTTGATCCTGAAAGGTGGGACAAGACAAGTTGTGAGAGGCAAGAGGGTTTCCATTGTCCCTTGCCAGGTCCCTGCTGGTCCTGGGAGCGCCAGTGCCACCCCTAGGGAAACTGGGGATGGAAGAAAAAGCCTCTGATCCAACCCCAGCTTCCAGCCTCCTGGCAGGCGGCTCACATTACTCTAGGGCTCTATGTTTAGTCTTCCTGGAAAAGGGGACTCCAGCCCCTTCCCTATCCCAGACTCTCAGAGAAAGGACCCCTCATTCAGCATTCTGTGTCCCACACATGCTGGGCTTGTGTGTGTGCCAGGCTCAGTGTCAGGCACTGGGGGTACAGACATGTGAAGACAGTCTAATAAATGTCACCCACTGTCACTCTCTCAACTAGGGAGCAACTCTCCCTTTCAACAGAACTGAGCAAGCCCCACTTCAGAAGTTCAGATTAAGGTCAGAGAGGGAGAAGGCTTTGGCCAAGGTCACAGAGGCTGACGAAGAATGGGAATGTCAATCCACAGTCCTCAGTTCAGGACGCCTGCCCCAACAGCTCATGAATTAAAATGTCTCTGCCCAGGGCAATAACCTCTACCCCTGGACCACATGCCACTTCCTTCCAGGAGGCCCAGGCACTAAGGCAAGGGAAATCTGGGACAATGAGGGAAATGAGGCGAGTGGGCACTAGAGTGGGGATAAGGAGGGGAAGCAGTCCTGCCTTGCATCCTGGGGACCCGCCATGAGCTCACTCCAGCCCTCTCATCTATGCTGGAGACATTTCCCAAGATAGAGCAGAGCCAATAGTGTGAAGTCAGACTTTGAATCTTGGTTCAACTTCTTCCTGTGTGACCTTAGACATGTCACTTAACCTCCTTGCATCTTAGTTTCCCCAAACGTAAAACACGGGAACCAGAGGGAATCATAGTTCCTACTAGTTATGGTGCTTGCGAAGATTAAATGAGATTATGACTGCAGTGATTCAGACCAGCCTTTGAGCCCGAGTTCAATTTCTGGTTTCATCTCTCACTTCCCAGCTGGGTGACCTTGGACAATTTTTTTTTTTTTTTTTTTTTTGAGACTAAGTTTCACTCTGTTGCCACCCAGGCTGGAGTGCAGGGGCAGAATCTCGGCTCACTGCAGCCTCTGCCTCCTGGGTTCAAACAACTCTGCCTCAGCCTCCCAAGTAGCTGGGATTACAGGCACCCACCACCACACCCAGCTAATTTTTGTATTTTTAGTAGAGATGGGGTTTCACAATGTTGGCCAGGCTGGTCTCAAACTTCTGACCTCAAGCGATCCACCCGTCTCAGCCTCCCAGAGCTGGGATTACAGGTATGAGCCACTGTGCCTGGCAGGACAATTCTTTAACCTCTGTGTCTCAGTGCTTTCATGTGTAAAATGATGACAGTAACAGTACTAGGGTACTATTTTCATGGTGTTTTGGTGAGATTTAGTTACTAGATGAATGTGCTCAGAACATAGGAGGTGAAATGTTAGCTATTACGATGAGGATGCACAGTCTTGTGTAAAATACGCAGAAGCGCCAAATGCCAGTGTCTGTTGACCACGAGCTGTTACTCCTGAGATTGTCATTGCCCAGGCTGGCCTCACTGTCTGCTGGACAACCTCCCAACTCTAACACTAACTCTCTGCTTCTTCAGGAAGGCACTGTCCCCAGCATTCAGCTCCAGCTGCGGAAGGTGAAGAGGGGCAAGGCAAGCCAGTTCTTTGGGCTGATGGGGAAGCGAGTGGGAGGTGAGCGACAATGGTGGGTGGCAGGGTCCTGAGTGGGTTCTGCAACATCGAGCAGAGGCCCTCAGTTAAAAGCCCAGGACCTGGGTTCAGGTGCTCCAGTCCAGTAGGGATCGCTCATGAGATGGAGTGGCCTAGACTGTCCATAGAAACTATCATCCAGGCTGGGGGAGGAGAGTGGTGGCTCACGGTCTGTAATCCCAGCACTTTGGGTGGCCGAGGTGCGCAAATCACCTCAGAGTCAGTTCAAAACCAGGCTGGCCAACATGGTGAAACCCTGTCTCTATTAAAAATACAAAAATTAGCCAGGCATGGTAGCACACGCCTCTAATCCCAGCTACTTGGAAGGCTGAGGCAGGAGAATCACTTGAACCCTGGAGGCAGAGGGTGCAGTGAGCTGAGATCCTGCCACTCTACAATACAGCCTGGGCAACAAAGTGAGACTCTGTCTCAAAAAAAGAAAAGAAATTATCAACCAACCAGGACACTTTGGGGAGTGTTAATAATTATGCCAAGCAACAGGTGTAAACCAGCCTGTCTCCCAATGGGAAGCGTGGTCACCTGAAGGGTGGGGACACAGGCTCTGCACGCTGGCTGGTGCCTTCCATGCTCTGCATGACTCTGGGAGTGGCAGTGAAACTAGAGACCAGTCTGGATGTGGGCAAAGCCACAAGCCAAGCTTTCTAGTCAATTTTGTTTGGCTCAAACAGAATTACTAACTCAAACCTGTGTTCTCTGAGGGCACTTTCAATTCAGGAGTCCTATCCTCGGGGGACCAGGAGAAAATAGTCTGCACACACAGCAGTTTTCTATTTTCCTATTGTCAACATTATATGTTTAAAGTGGTAATATTCTGAGTTGCCTGGGTGTGAAAAAACTGGCACTTTTACACTGACTGTTGGAGGACACGTTGGCAATTTCCAGGAAAGTTGGAAATGTGCATGCCTTTCTGACCCAGAGTCTCACTTCTCAGGTGGACACGATGTTGCTACATGAACCCTAAGGGTATTCATTGCCAACATGCTTGTAATAGCAAGGATCTGGAAATTACATAACAACCATCATCAGGGAACGGTCAAAATATATTAGGCATATCCTTAACCTTTGTGGCCATTAAAGAGAATGAGGCAGACCCATGGAAAGATATGGAAAGGTCTCCAAGGTACAAGGTTAAGCAGAAAGAAAGCACATTAAAGATCAATATTCGAGAGGAGCCTACTTGTTTTTAAAAAATGACATACTCTTCCTGCAGGTTTGCTCAGTTGTGGGGGGTGGTGGAATGACATACTCACACACAGATATTCAAATGCATGGGGAAAGTTCTAGAAGGATAAATATCTAACTGTAAACAGTGGTTACATCAAGGACAGGAAGTAGAGATGAGGGGGAGAAAGAAGAGAGACTCTAAATTTTACTTGTACAAACCTTTTCAAAATAGTGGATGTATTCAAGAACTGCTTTTTGTTAAAAAAAAAAAAAAAAAGTACACATATAAAAATAGAAAAAACCAACTTGTGACCAAGCACTTTTGGCCTTAGTTTCCTCATCTACAAAATGAGTTTTGAACTGAGCCATTTCAAACTTCTTTTCCAAATCCAACAATCCATGAAGAACGGGGGATGGGGTGTCAGAGAGATATTTCTTGAGCACCTACTATGCTCAGGATTGAATCTCCACAACACTATCCCCCTTATCACAAGCACGGAAGCCAAGGCCCAGATAGATTAAGCACTTTTCCCAAGGTTGCCTGTCCAGCTGGCACCAGGTGCCAGTGACCCCAAAGTCTGTGCCTTCCAGCCACTCCACACTGCCTCCTATCAGCACACCCCTATTGCCACAGAGGATAATGGGGAGTGACTAGAATTCCACTGAGACCCACCCATGCACCGACCCCCAAAGAACTGGAGCCTTTCCCACCTCACCAAGCCCCCAGGGAAGCAGCGCAGTCAGCAGTCCTCATTCCTTCTTTCTCCTTCCCCCAGGAAGACCTCTGATCCGGCCAGGGAGAAAAAAAGGTAAGTATTGCTCAAACCTGCCCTCAGCATGCCCCCTGGGGAGGGTTGAGTTGTCCTCAGTGCGAACAAACCGGGTGGGCCAGGGGCAGGCCAGGCTGGCAATGCTGTGCAGAGGGTGGGGCCCGTGTGGTTTGGCCATGCTAGGCTTTCTGGTTATTTTCTTAGAGGGGTGGTCCTAAGGAGTGGCTGTAGGGATAGGAGGAGACAGTGATGGCTCTAGTTCCGCCAACGTTTCAAAATTACCTTAGGTCTAAAGCCTGGAATTAGGAAAAAAAAAAAAAAAAAAAAGAGCAAACCACCAGAGATAAGAGTGCTTAAAGCTCCTAACCCTGGCACCCAGATTATCTTAAAAGTGCAAATCTGGAACAGGCACAGTGGCTCATGCCTGTAATCTCAGCATTTTGGGAGGCCAAGGTGGCCATATCACTTGGGGTCAGGAGTTCGACACCAGCCTGGCCAACATGGCAAAATCCCATCTCTACTAAAAATACAAAAATTAGTCAGGCGTGGTGGCAGGCACCTGTGGTCCCAGCTACTTCAGAAGCTGAGACTAGAGAAACTTTTCAACCCAGAAACAGGGGTTGCAATGAGCCCAGTCTAGCCCGAGTGACAGAGGGAGACTGTTTCAAAAACAAAGTGCAAATCTAAGACTTCTTTGTTACCAGGCTGGAGTGCAGTGGCACGACCTTAGCTCACTGCCACCTCCACCTCCCAGGTTCAATCGATTCCCCTGCCTCAGCTTCCTGAGTAGCTGGGACTACAGGTGTGCACCACTATGCCCAGCTAATTTTTGTATTTTTAGTACAAATGGGATTTCACCACATTGGCCTGCATGGTTTTGATCTCTTGACCTTGTGATCTGCCCGCCTCACCCTCCCAAAGTGCTGGGATTACAGGTGTGAGCCACTGCGAGTGGCCTACCCTGCTTAAATCTTTCAGCGAAAAGGGAAAAACAAAATCAAAAGAAAATAAACCAACATGCAGGGCATCCCAGCACTTTGAGAGGCCAAGGCAGGTAGATTACGGGGTCAGGAGTTCAAGACCATCCTGGCCAAGATGGTGAAACCCCATCTCTACTAAAAATACAAAAATTAGCCAGGCATTGTGGCAGGCAGGTGCCTGTCATTCCAGCTACTCAGGAGGCTAAGACAGAGAATTGCTTGAACCCAGGAGGCAGAGTTTGCATTGAGCTGAGATCGTACCACTGCACTCTAGCCTGGGTGACAGAGCAAGATTCCATCTCAAAAAAAAAAAAGAAAAGAAAACCAGCCTGTACCCTCCACTCCCTCAGTGCTCTCAGGACCAAGTCCATTCCCCTAATACAACTCACCGCATCCTTCAGGACTGCCTCACTGACTTGACTCCCAGCCCCATCTTGACCAGCTTTCCTTCCCTGACCGCCTGTCCTACACAGACAGAGCTTGACTCCATGGCCTGGCATGACCCTGTCCTTGGCACATTGCACTACACTGTCTTGCTGGGTCACATGGCTGGCTGGTGTCCCCAGACCGGAAGTCCCCCAACAGGCAGGCATCAGGTCTGTTGTTGCCTCTGTATCTCCAGTTCCCAGCAGTTTCTGCCTGTTAGAAGCACCACTAGGTGTTTGGGAAGGGAGAGCAGAGGGGGAATGGAGGAGGGAATCAATGAAAGAACTAGTGAATAAATCAATCGGTCCATCGGTGTTCCCTCACTCTTGGGATGACGGAGGAATGATTCTGTCTGCAAGGCCCTGGCCCTGCCCTTCCCCGCTTCCCAAGATAGCCCACCGCTGCTGCCTCTTTCTTCTCTACCACTTCTCTCTCCCACTGCCAGTGTTATCAGCTGGAACACACACTCCAGGGCCTCCTGGGCAAGAGAAGCCCATCCATAGAAGGTAAGGGCCACTGGTGCTTACAAGGGCATCATGGGAAAATGGCCACTTTGCTGCCAGTCTCCAAGGTGGGGGCTGAGCAGCTGGAGAGAGAGGCCCCCAGGAGAGGCAGTTGAGTGCAAAGAGGTGGTCTCTTTGATGATCCAAGACTGAAATCGCTGTGGCCCTGAAGCTGCACCCTCCCATCCCCTGCACACCCAGGCACACTCTGCCCTGCCCCTACCCCTGCCCCTCAGGGCCAGCTGAAACCATGGGGACTTATGCCTAGTTTCCCAGGCCTTGGAACATCCCCTATTCCCTCACTGTTTGCAAAGTTCTCATCACTGATCATTGAGAGAGTCATGCCTTTACTCTTCAGAGATTTTCTGCCTTCAACTGTATATAAGTGCAGATCACTCTGGGAGGGGTAACACTGGAAGTAGTTATCAGCTCACACCTTCTACCAGAGACCATGCCCCCAAATGGTTCCAGGGGGCCAGGCAAGAAAGTGGGTAAATGAATCAGGTTGAGGAAAGGTCACAGCTCAAGCGAGTGAGCACAAGAGGACAGGCAGTGGGTACCCCAGCAGGTCACAGATACCTGGCGCCTAACCTCTTCCACCAGAGCTGAAGACTTCTGGACCCCTCCCCTCCCTAGCACCCCTGATAGAACACCTGCTTGAGTCATTCCATTCAAGAGCCATGGAAGTCACCTCAATAATAAATAGAGATGAATGTCCCTCCATGCATGCTGTGGCGGGAATATTAGAAGTCAGTCGTTACTTTTCAGAGATGGAAAGCTACTTGCCCAAAGTCATACAGTGAGCCGATAACAGAGCCAGAACTAAACTGTGTCTACTGTTTCCTGGTCCGTGGCATTTTCCATGTCCCCAGGACAGCCTTTGGAACTCTTAGATAGCCTTCCCCACCTTTAAAGAGGATAACTGAAGGTGGGCTCCATCCATGCTCTGGGGGCATTAGGAATTGACAGACAAGCCTGTAATTCCATTGCTCTAGAAATCTCCAGACAGGAGAGGGGGGTTAGGAAGATGAAGGCCTTCACTACGACTAGGGAAGACTACCATGGGTCGAGGAGCCAGACAAGACCCCCCATAACCACAGTTCATATACCAAACTCTCCCCAGGCAGAGAGGATGAGGCCCAAGGTTCAGAGTAGAAGCCCCCACAGCAGACTTCCCATAGGACGTGGTGCCGCTTCTTCTGACCTGGACATCACAGCTGACGAGCCGGCAGGCCAGCTCTCTTCTCCGTGTCTCCTGTCCTCATCACTGGCACTTCACATGAGGCCCACACTGAACGCACTGGACTTCTTCCTGGACTCACGGTGTCAGGCAGCAGTCCTGCATAAATGCATGGTCTTCACTGTTGCAAGCTGCAATTGACTCTGCCTTCCCTCACACTCAGAGCTGGCATCTCACTGCCCAGCAGTGGGGAGACTCGCATACTCTGTATCCCGTGCCTAGCACACAGTAGGCGCTCAATAAATAAGTGACCAGTGAATGGCTCCTATTCTGGTGCACAGCAGAGGGTAGGAATGGCCTGGGCTCTGTAGCCTGTTCAGTGGCCTCACTGGTATGTCAGCAGGCCAAGAGGCCTTTTGCAGAATTGCAGAGAAATACTGAACAGCCCTGGTCCTGCCCCCAGAGGGGAATACAGGCTTGGGACACAGGTAAGGATGACAGAAACAGGAAGGAGGCCATGATGGGGTGGGAAGGTATTACCGGCATTTCGAAATGGAAGGGATTTGAAAACAAGGATCTTTTTTCCCTTTAGCATCCTCTGAAGCCCCAGCCGGAAAGCAGACGCCCTCCTCCTACTCACAGATATGATCTCAAAGGGCTGAAATCCAGGCATCTCCTGACTCAGAGAACTGGGTTCATCAGTTGTCTTGTATAAGGTGACCCTTCATTTAGCTGCCTTGTGGTTAAGACACAGCCCCATTCTTGAGCACCTTAGAAGACGGAAACAGCTCGAAGCCTCAGGGAGCCCCACACTGATAGGGAGGCAACTGTCCCTGCACTAGTAGTTTATAGGCAGATGAGACACAGAGGACCCCTTAGAAAGCAGCACATGCGCTATCATGAAATCCTGGAGGCAATCCTAGGTCCTAAGTGTGGAGGTGTAAGGAATGCGCTGGGAATTGTGTGTGGGTCCAGCAGTAAAGGAGGTGCCTTAATCCACTAGGCTACAAAGCATTTAGCTTCTGTGTGCCTCTCTCCAAAAAAAAAAAAAAACAGGTGAGGAGTTTTTCTGGGTGTTTGATTCTTTGCAGGCAGCTGCGGGGGAGGGGAGCTGGGCTGTTTGAAATGAGGGGAAAGCAGGCACACTGGTACAGAGGGCAGGACCCTCCTCTGGATGCCAGGAAAGGCTTTAGTGACAACAAAGGTGGCTGCAAGGAGGAAGCCAAATGGCACCAGCAGAGGCAGGAAGAGTCCTTCCACTTGATCTGTAGTGAGGTAGTCTCTCTCCCAAGACTGTTCACTGTGAGCCCCAAATAAACCTCAGTATTCCCCATCTTCACACCTTACCATCATGTCCAGCAATGAATATGGGAGTGGGGGCCAGTGCGAGCCTCCTCCTTGGGCTGCGACACTGCTGCAGAATTTTCCTGTTAAAGTACTTCCCAACTCACCCGCTCCTAACCTCCTAACCCACCAGGCAGCCCCAGTGCCTGCCCCACCCCACCCAGCCACCAGTTTGGCCCCAAGAAGTGGTTTACTGCAATAACCCAACTCAAAGCTCCAGCAGAGGGTTGAAGACGGCATTCTTGTGTTTTGAACTCTGGGACATTTAGGAAACAAGTGAATTCACCAGACAGTGTGTTTCATCTATGTGCCAGCATTTCACTAGGAACTCAGATGGGACTGGGGATATGAATGAGTGTAAGATTGGAATTTGCCCTTGAAGACCTCATGGTACTACAGGAGAGCCAAGATGTACTAAAGGATGCAAAACCCGCCTTCGCTCCCCAGTGCTATCTTTTTCAAGCTCACTATGTTCACTCCTGCTTCTGGTTTCTGCACATGCCAATCTTTCCATCCTCGTGAATGAATTCTTTGCCGAGATCCATTTCTCTGTAAAAGTTTTCCAGCCCAGGAAACAGCCATCCATTCCCTCGTTGGCATTCCTGAACTGCCTTAAAAGTTCTTCCATTCAGCACTTCCTCTATGTCACAGTGTTGATGTTATAATTAATGATTTAGCTCCCCGGCAAGAGGGTTTCTGAATAACATCGATCACATCTTATCATCATTGTGCCTTCAGTGCCCACGGTAGTGCCTGGCACATGAGAGGTCCCTGGAGAGCACTGTGACGAAGGATTCACATTTCCTGTCCTCAAGGAGTCTATCTCCAGAAAGCCAAACTTAATACAAGTAACTGAAGTAAGTAGTAGCAGCTGCGACTTACTGAACACATCCCATAATTCTCAAACTCAACCTGTCCATACACTGAACCTTTGGTCCATGGCCCCAAAGCTACTCTCCATCATCTTCTGCATCTCTACAAATGGCACCTCCATGCACCCAGCTGCTAGAGCTACAAATTTGGGGGTTCCCCTCAATTCCTCACATCTCATTATCCCCTAGCTGTTGAACCCTCTACAATCTATCTTGAGTCCACCTACTTCTTGCCATCTTCCCTGTCACTGTTAGTACCAGCCACCTTCCTCCCTTGTCTGGAGGGCAGTAGCCGCCTGGCAGACCTCCTTGCTTTCCACCCTCCTGCCAGCCAGCCACCCTCAGCCTTTGTCCACCAGAGCATGACCTTTTAAATGGGAACTAGTATCATGTCCATCCCTTTTTGGCCATAGTCCAATGGTGTCCTAGCATTCTTGACATTCTTGCAGAAACCTCCAGTGCCCTGTGCTCTCTAGTCCCTCTCCTGTGTCACCTGTCACACTTGTCACCAGGCTCTCTCAGACACACAAATGGTGGCCTGCTTCCAGATCTGGACACTGCCCCAGTCCCCTCTACTCCATTATCGCCCCCACCCTGCTAACTCATCTTTCAGCTCCCAGGATATAGGCCCTTTTTTTTTGAGACGGAGTTTCGCTGTTGTTACCCAGACTGGAGGGCAATGGCACGATCTCGGCTCACCGCAACCTCCGCCTCCTGGGTTCAAGCAATTCTCCTGCCTCAGCCTCCCGAGTAGCTAGGACTACAGGCGCGTACCACCATGCCCAGCTAATTTTTGTATTTTTAGTAGAGATGGGGTTTCACCTTGTTGACCAGGATGGTCTTGATCTCTTGACCTCATGATCCACCCGCCTTAGCCTCCCAAAGTGCTGGGATTATAGGCATGAGCCACCGCGCCCAGCCAATATATGCCCTTTTTTAGACAGGGTTTATACTGGTTCCCCAGACTCAACTAATTCCTTAGTTGGTGAGCCCAAGGGAACTTGTTTACTGACTACATGAGTGAATACATGGCAGGCACTGAAAAAGAATTTTCCACAATTCTGCCACTTGCTTGAAGTTGCAAAGGAAAAGACAGAGAGGATCTGAGCTACAGTGGCTGGACTTCACGTACACACTTAGTCTATGCCATGATAGTTCAGACAAGTCTCAGGCAGAATTAGGGCCTATTTGGATAGGAAACATTTCCAAAAGCCCCACTTCAGGACACCAGTCGAAGAGGCTCCTTCCACAACAAATCATTTTAGGAAATGTTACATCCTGTGTCTTCTTGGAAAACCCCAATGCCCATTAGTCTACTGAAGGTTTTGGGAAATCTTAAAGTCAAGAAACATACTGGTATTATTTTTTTATTTTTAGAGACAGGGTCTCAGTCTGTCACTCAGGCCGGAGTGCACTGGTGGAATCTCGGTGGGCTCAAGTGATCCTCCTACCTCAGCCTCCCGAGTAGCTGGGACTACAGATGCACACCACCGTGCCCAGCAAGCTTTTTGTAGAGATTGGGTCTCCCCATGTTGCCCAAGCTGGTCTAAAAACTCCTGGGCTCAAGTGGTCCTCCCCGCTCAGCCTTCCAAAGTGCCAGGCTTACAGGCGTGAGCCACCACACTGGGCCTGATATTAACTTTGGAAACAGTGTTTTCCAACTTTATTTGGCCTCAGAGCCCTTTTTGCCTGTATTTTTGTGTTTAATGGAACATACTTCATGGAATGTTGAGTGGAGGCTTTCTCAGTAAATACAATCATAGACTAATCCAGTTGCACGTTGAGGTTATGTGTAAGGGAACGATGAAAGCTAGGTAGGTTGAGTCAGATTACGGAAAGACTTGAAAGCCAGGATAAACATAAACTTAATCCATTGAGCAATGAGAAGCCCCATCAATTCTTGAGCAGGCAGGTGATAAACAGTATCTTGACAGCAGAAAAAGGCAGGGCGTAGCGGCTCACACCTCCTAATCCCAACACTTTGGGAGGCCAAGGCAGGCTGATTGCTTGAGCTCAGCTCAAAACCAGCCTGGGCAACACAGCAAAACCTTGTTTCTACTAAAAAACACAAAAAAATCAGCCAGACGAGGTGGTGCATGCTTGTGGTCTCAACTACTCTAGAAGTTGAAGTGGTAGGATAGCTGGAGCCCAGGAAGGTGAGGCTGCAGTGAGCCGTGATCACACCACTGCACTCCAGCCTGGGTGACAATAAAGAAAGCAGAAGAGTCTTCACTTTTCCTAATCCACATAAGCAGATGGCTACAAATTCCAAGGCCAGCCAGTTACTTTAGAAGCAATTTGACAGCTAAGATATGATAAATCACCAAATGAGATGAACTGACTGAGGCTGCCATTTACACAGAACATGAACAGTGCCCCCTGGAATCGCACAAGGTGGTAGCCTTTCTATAGGCACATCTGGCTTCCAAGCACAGGCAGTTAGTTAAACCTACAGGGCAAACTGAATTCCAGCCCTTTAGTTTCCAAAGTGTTCATTTCACTTCTCCACTGCCATGTATCAAACCATTCCAAAACGTGTGGTTTAAAACAGCATTCTGCCAATTATCTGGGTTAACAGGACTCAGCTAGATGTCATTAGTGTCCTGAGGTATCAGCAAGGGCCACTCATGAGGACGCATTCAGCTGGGAGTCTGGCAGGGTTGAAACCTTCAAGAGACACAAGTCTGGGTGTTGGTGCTATGACTGGAGCATCCTGGTTCTCTTATGCATGGTCTCTCACCATTGGGTAATCTAGCCCAAGCTTCTGATTTGGAAACATGTCAGCTCATTTTCAAGAGCAACAGTGGAAGCTGCCAAAATACCGCTTCCGTAACATCCTCTTAGTCAAAACAAGCCACAAGTTCAGCTCACAATGATGAAAAAAGTAGACCTTATTGGAAGCAGCAAGTGCACAGAGGGATGAGGGCAATTGTTGGCGGCCATCCTTGGAGATCACATACCTACCATACCTCTAAATCTGTGTAGTAAGAGCGTAGGTTTCTGACAGGTTTGAAACTGAACATATGGTAAGCTCTTTCCAGAAATAAATGCCCAAATAAGAACGAAGACTGGTTTCCTGGAATGAACATGACTTGTCGACGGTAAAGAAAGGTGTTTATCTCTCACATTTGCGAGGAGCCATGGAGCCAGAATTGTGCAATAGTACAGGTTATTTTCTCCACTCTTGGGCACACGTAAACAAATCCCCAAACCCCCAAAAGGTGACAACATGACCTGGACTTAAAGGTATTGCACAAGAGGTTGGGGCAAACTGACGTTTTGGCACCAAGGACATTGCTCATCACTGGACAATCCTTTGTTTCCTTCTTAGTGACATTCATCGGGTTTTTGTTGCACATACCACACAGGAAGAAGCTATTTTACTGCCCCTATCAGCAGGAAACAGTCTGGAGGACGCAGTCACACATAATTTCATGTAAGTGCTGGGGCAAAACCAAGAGGTCCGATTGCATGATCCCAGTGAACAGCAAACAGTGGCCTCTAGAAGTCCTAGCACACATCACATACTATCATTCAGCAAAGCAGTTTTCATATTTTATTCTGACATTCAACACTTTGATAAGCTGTACATACGTGCACCTTGAGACACATGAGGTAGAGGAAACTAGTGCTGAGAGCCTCAGTGAGTCAGGCTTTCTCCCCGCTGCAGTTTCATTTCACTTGATGGGATTGCTTATTTGAGCCTGAGCACACTAAGAACTAGCCAAGGGTTGTGCGGTAAGAGGATTGCTGCTGTCTCACTCGGGCTTTCTCTCAAACCAGGGTTTCTTCAATCCATATCCAAGAACAAACTTCAAAGGCACAGTTTCCTCAACTATAGACAAATGTGTG